TCTGCCGAAACTAGTCCTTACCTTCTGAAGCAACGGTAGTCGGCTTATCGACTCAGGAATGTTAGCTCTATGCGCTCATAGCAGCAAAATGCGGTACTACAAAAGCTCTGCCCACAAAAAAATTAGTTCGGTTTCTTTTGGGTACCCCATCGTATTATTATTTTATATGACTCTGAAGTATATTTTGCATCACCTACAATATTGTTGCCATATTTCACAATGTCCTCACTTCACAAAATCAAGATTTGACCATGAAATAATATGAAAGTAAAAAGGGAAAATAAAAACCAGTTTCTACTGGTGTTAGCCCTGCCAGAAATTGTGAATAACACAATTGATATTTACCATCACTAAATTTCATTTTCACATAATATATACATACATTGCATAATGACCTAAAATAGTATAACACATTTGATAACATGCCATAACAGTACTGTAAATTTCAAAAATTAATTTTATGCAACATCTGAAATGGAAAACATTATTTTACAAACACACAAACAAGCACATATACATAATTCGTAATTTAGAAGATACTGTGTGTTAAGCATGATAATTAAGCAATAATAAAAAATAACAAAGCTGTTAGTAAATTATCGCCTCCAGTGTAGAAATTATTCTAACAGTGAACACACATAAATCGTTAATGCCAAAAACTTAAATTATATTGTCACGTGTTTCGTTACTGAATACGCCGTATAGATTGTTAATTGGTTTATTCAACAACCTACAAGTAACAATAATAACAATAATAAATTAATTCTTTTACCCTACCCACAACTCTGATGTGATCCATAATAAAATTTAATTGCTCTGTATTTAAAGAAACAGATGTGACTCCACTCAAGTCATTTAGTGCATGCCAGCCTCCTGTCTGTCTCACTGGCCATTTGGCCATCACCATGGCAACTCGTTCTCCCTCCTGTTCCTGCTCCTCTGTGTTATCAGCTTCCATTTTCCACAGCTAGTTGTTGGTCTGCTAATGTGTCTGAAGGAAGTGAGCAATTCCCAGCATTTCAAACCTTGTAAGAATTGTGATTTCACAGTGCTGACCTCTGTTCCATGCATTCAGGGATAGGATATGCAGATGACATTGATTATTTGCAAGGTTTCAGTTTTCCAATTAACACCAGGAAAGGAGTGCATTATCGCATGCATAATACATAAGATAAGTTTAGATTATGTTTGGTTATGTTCTTATAATTAATCTAAGATGCTGGTGCTACATTTGGTGAGACTTCAGTTGTAACTAATGCACAAGTGAAGTAGTGAGGAATGAGTTCACTTAGTGGGGGGTGGAGTCCAACTGGATGCACTTGGAACGGTGGCTACTTATTGGCCTATTATACCTGTCCTGGGTGATTATGATGATGGAGAATTTGGTGGAATGAAGATTGGCAGGGGAAACCAAAGTACATGGAGAAAACCGGCCCCAGCGCCATTTTGTCCACAAGAAATCCTACTTGACCAGACCCGGGTGGGAAGCCAGCGACTAACCGCATGAGCTATGGTGCAGCCTCAGGAATGATTTACTAAAGGGTCATGAAAGGGTAGGATGTGGAAGGGATGGGATTAATTTTACAGGGACATTAAAGGTATGTCATTGTTTGAATGTTCATACATCTCTGTATTCTGTTCTTAAATAAATTATGTTAGCTATGTTAATTTGTATGGAAACACTTTTGTATATATCTGGCCTTTCTATTCTGTACATTTCCTCAATGAAGTTATTAACCAGCATGCTGCACTTGCTGCTACAGTTACAAATGTTTCAGATTTGAAGACTTAACTGATGTGTACAAAATTAAATGGTAAAAATACTGGAGTTTTAATATCTTTCCTAATGTCTGATGTCACTGTTAAACTATTTATTTGGAAACAGGTAGTCAGTTACAACAAGCCCAGCCAGTCACCAAGTTGCACTTTGTCAAGTGACTTTTCCTTTGTGATTTATACAAATATAAATCTATCTTATCCTTTAATCCAGATGCAACATGGTACACTCTTAAACAGCTCTGTGTGATTCCATAAAGGATTGATTTCCCATAATGCCACCATCATATTGTAAGGACTACTTGAATGCAGCCGTGTATCCAGAGATGAAAATGAGACATACATGGGTACACACCATCTGTTTAGTTCCAGATTGCCACATTTTTAGGAAGCTATTTACAGTGCTTTAAGATGTCATATCATCCCCAATAACAATAAATATAGGAACACCTGCACCTCAATAATTTTCATCTAACACATGGTGGTCATTCCTCTGGGGTTTTCTTTCTGATCAGGAGCATCTGCCTGATTCTGATAATTTGTTCCCACCCCTGCATATATATATATATATATATATATATATTAAATGTGTATATCAGGAAAACTGTGCTTCTTTGTATAGGTTGTTTCCTTGCAGTACTCTGGTAATCAGAAAGCTGGAATGTATGCATGTGTTATCTGCTTGATCATTATAAACTTCTTACAGTATTTATTTACTCCTTAGTTCTAATGTTATACAAAGACCTTAACCTTCTTCATGACAGATGGCCCATTCTTTTCTGTTACATAATTTTCCCTCCTATACATACATTACGTAGATCCAAAGTAAGTCAGAACGACTGTAGGATGTGGAACAATTCATACAAATACAAAAGCCATAAATACAGTACAACTGAGCCACACAAAAAGAAATACATCCACATATATAAGTCAATTCTGTCAACTTATGCTATGTACATAACCTTTTAAAAGGACGAGTCATTTTTAGACAGTAGGAATTCATCAACAGAGTAGAATGTGTGTGTATTTAAGTATCCTTTCAGTGCCAACTTAAATTGCTCCTTTTCATTCATTAGACTTTTGAGACTAGATGGTAAATCGTTGAAAATTTTAATGCCACTCTCTTCACTTTCAGCAATCTTTTGACAGTAATTTGTATCATTTTAGTCCTTACAGGAGAAGAAGAGAAAAATCCAATGTTTCATGCTCCATCACCTAATGATAATAGCATACTTATTGGCTCCGGATCAGGTACTGGTGCTGCTTCTGCGAAACCCATCATGCAGTCATGTGTTGTGCTGGTTGCAACTGTGCTCCTTGGCAGGATTAATCTTGTATTACTGAATGGATAAAACTCTCACCTCCAGCAGGTGCTAGTACACACATTTCTTACTCATGGCAAATTATAAGGAGAGGAAGAAGAAACAAAGAAGAAATTGAAAGAAAAGCTTATAACATGTAAAGTGTTCAAAAATAAAAAAGCAGCAAAAATGAGGTATCTATTATTATAATATAAAACAAATAAAAATAATAGTGGATTGGTTCAATTCTAGCTAGGTTTGTTAACCTATTGGATGGGAGTTTACGTAATCAAATGTTTTGGGCAAGTGTGAGTGAAGTGAACGGAAGGAACAAGATACACATGTGATTTATTATGGGTGAAGTTACATATTATGGGCCTGGTGATCAGAATGTTAACCAGGCTCAGTAGTTGGATCCTTGGTGAAGGCGTTTTTCATGGGTGTTGTAGTAGTGTTATCTTAAAAAAGAAAGGTGTCATATTCTTCAGAGATGTTATTTTTATCTTTTTCTTGCAAGAGGATAAAATACCATATAAAAATTATCTGGATGGCTGTGAAGAACGTGTACATAGTTGCAGTTTTTGACAGCTGCTGCACAACCAGTATTTGTTGAAATTTTTAGATGTGAGATATGACACCTTTGGAAGATAACTTGTCTCAACAAAATTTTGGATATTATTGTATCATAGCAGCTTGAATGTTTTTATTATGATACAGAATTATGCTTATGAATGGTTTCAAAAGCAGGCAAGTTGCTTAAGTCATTGGCTGATGAAATATTGGTTTCTGTTTATTTGTTAAAATTATTTTTAATATTTTCTGTGGGAAGAAATATTGATTTATTCCTCTGATTCACCACTGCATAATGCCTCCTCATTTAGGTATAGGCAACTTTCATTGAGATAAGAATCATGAGTCTCCAAAGAAATGTGGGATTTTCCTAACACATTTCTTTTAAATGTATACAAGTATACTGGAATGATCCATGCTGTGTTCATAGCATCATGGATAAAACCGTTTGCATCAGTGGTTGACTCCATTTCTAACCTTCATGCTATATGTCAGTTAAGGGCATAACTGTTCCTTTCACTTCCCTGTTTTTCTTGGCATATTTTCTTTTCCCCATATGTTTCTTCCCATTTCTTGCAACTTCCTTGGGAACATCAGCTTTACTTTAATGATGCTTGGTATAAAATATATATTTTACAAAATAATTCAAACAAAGAAATTAAGAGAACTTCATTTATACAGATGGCTGGGCATTAATAATTTCTTTGTTAGAGGTAAACAAGTGAACTGGGGTTGTTACAACCTAGCATTGTTCTTTCTTTAATATATTTCTTCAGATGAGTGAATAAATTATACTATTGTAAAGAAGAGAAAATTATGGACAAGTTTTAAAACAATAATAATTTCCATTTTCTAATAAAAAATACTATCTCCTTTGTGTGATCAAATTGGGATATATGCATGAATTTTTTAAAGCTGTTCAGAACAGGTTCAGTGATTGTGTGAAAGATGTGTATATGTTTGAATGTTTAGTTTTGTTATTTCTTAATTTGTGACTTGCATATTTTATTAATTGTTCATTTGAATAATACAACAGCTGTCACTTTATTGTGGAAGGGCATCTGGAAGGTAACACAGACTTGATTTCAGCATCCTTGAAACCAAATACATTTAACAAAGCACTTCAAAGAATTAAATAAATACTCTTTTATTAGTTATTTCTTTAGTGTGTACATTTAAGAAACTTCTCTAACTGATCAGTACAGGAGAATTAAAAATTAATTTCACAATTGAATTATAAAATTTTGTTAATGTCCAATGTTTATTTTTGAAATATTTTATTTATTTTATCTTCACCCCAGGATGTAACATTTTAGTTTTTTACATTAGTTGAAACAAGCGTGTGTGGAGCAAGCAAAGTTTTATGAATTTGATGATTATGTCATACAAGTCACTATGATGCTACCATTAATCTGTTGTGAATAGTTTGACAGGAAATTTCAACAAATTAGTTATTTCAATTACATACCAATAAATTTACATTTTTTTAGACAACTTCTACAATTTATAAATATTATTATGAACACACTGTCTCTTAGTTAAATTTCCAAAACTGTGTATGAGTTTCAGTGGAGCTTTCCTGATCTGTGACAAAGATTTTGTTAAGTTCGGATGTTAACATGGGACTGATGAATAATGAAATGGATAAGTGATGCACACATGAGATTACCAAATTCACAACCAGTCCGTGACAGTTGATAACACTAGCTGTATGTCAAGACAGACTGATAGAAAATGTATTTGGATTCAGTAACTTTTACTCATGTTTTCTATTTCTGATATGAAACCATTTTAGCAGCCATCTCTTAATTTCTTTTTAAATTGAGTACATGCGTTCTGCATATAAAAAGGCTGTTAAAGTTAGAATTTACCAGTTATATTGTACTAGGTAGTAAGAACCATGTACTTTCAGAATACCAAGCTATACACATAATTTAGGTTTTTAATTTAGAAACTGAAATTATGAAACTGGAGTTTCTGTAGTGTCTCTGAGATGCCAGAATGCAATAGTTATTTCTATTCTGGTAACAGAGCCAGTTGAAACTACTGCCATTCACCTGAACATTCTCATGTCATTATAACAGACATCAGAATTTTGTTGGTTTCTGAGGTCTTCAGTGTGTAATGCCATATAGTCAAGTGAAAGTGAGGCAGCTATGAGGGTTGTACTGAAAGTCATGAGCAACAATATTTTGTGAAGTAACATGCTTTATTATTGACAAACCAAATACACCACCTCAATCTACAGACCTTTCTTTATTTCTCCACATAATCGCCACTTCTTTGTACACATTTCTCCCAGCATTCTGGAAGTTTGAAAATTCCCCTTCTGTAAAATTCCATTCCAGCCATCCAAAGACACTGACGCACTGCTTTCTGAATTGCCTCCCTTGTCTCAATACGTTGCCCACACAGCTGATCCTTCACAAATCCGAAAAGATGGTAGTTGGAGGGTGCCAGATCAGGGCTATAGGAGGGGTGTGGAAGAACTTCCCACCCAATCTTTGCAATTACTTCCAATGTGACCTTTGTGGTCTTCAGTCAGTAACTGCGGGATCCACCGAGCACAAACTTTCCTATAGCCCAAGCTTTCAGTCAGCTCCTGTACTGCACTGTGCCCTATTCCAAGTTTTCGGGCTACTGTGTCCACAGTCACACGCCTGTCATCTTGAATGATCTCATCCACTCTTTCCTTGTTGCGTTCAGTTGAGGCTGTTCGAGGACAACCACTCTGAGGCTCATCTTTGATGCTGGTGTTCCCATCTTTAAAATATTTCACCCATCTTCGAACACTGCTCGCACCCATGCACGCACTTCCATAAGCACGCTGAATTCAGAAAGCATGTGTCAGTGTCTTCAGATGGCTGGAACGGAATTTTACAGAAGGGGAATTTTCAAACTCCCAGAACGCTGGGTGAAATGTGTACAAAGAAGTGGCGATTATGTGGAGAAATAAAGAAAGGTCTCTAGATTGAGGTGGTGTATTTGGTTTGTCAATAATAAAGCATGCTACTTTACAAAAAATATGTTGCTCATGACTTTCAGTACGACCTATGTACATGCTTGTTTCTTGCTTGGCTAACCCATTGACCCTGACCCTGAAGATGGGAGTGACGTCTCTCTCTAAATTGTCAATTTTTTTTTTACTGAACTAAATAGTATTATATCCCAGAAGAAGAACTCTTTCATCAGCACTTTGAACCATAGTGGTCGGCTAACAGAACTGGCTGTGTTATGAACGTAAGTAATAACGCTGGGTCCAGCACTTTAAAGGGACCTTATATCTCAGAAGGCATACTTTTTTTGAACATGCATACCTCTATCCATTGCACAGTTATAGAATGAATCATTCATAAATATGTAAGAGTTTTATGGTGTTTCTGAACAAATTTTAAAGCAACTCTTCCCAGTTATGGGCTGGGATATCTGTCAGCAAAGTAATAGGCTGTGGATTGCGTACTAGTGTTTGATGCCTGACAGGAGCAGGATTTATCTTTTTGCTAGCTAGCATTTTACACAATGGGCACCACATGAATTTTTCCCTGAAGTAGACCAGAATGTGCTCTGACCCTTCTCTTCCATCTATTGCCAAAACTAAATGTATGAGTTTATTTTCACTCCTATAAATATATGCCTTCATGAGTTACTTAACTTTAGTTTGATGCATGTTTAATTTCTTCATAAGAACGCTGATCCACGAATTTAAATTTTATAAGATTACATTTATGAATGAGAATTATTTTAATGAGCGAAGAGAATCTGTTATCAACACAGTAAAGCCTGCTTCCCACACACATCGTTTGCTGAGGAAGTAACCATATAGTATGCTTGTATTGAATCTCGTAATGTATGTGGTATTTAGTTTTTGTATATTTTCATGTATATGGCCCCAGATGTCAGATACATCAGAGCTGGGGGGTGGGGGATATCATAGGGGACAGTGGTCCAACATAGTATTTTGTTCACCTTCCCCTTCTCAACCCATTTTTAATATTTCCAATGTTCCTGCCATAATGAAGATGTTTTTGCAAAATTTATACTCTTGTTAAATAATGGAGCACAAAAGGAAATGCTATGTGTTAGTATATTTATATTGGAATTAGTAATAATGGTCTCTTACTGTAGCTTGTTAAGATTAATAGAAACATAAGAAAATAATCTTGTATATGAAATGGCATGCTTATTAAGGTAGGTATATTCCCGAATTTTATTTTGTGGGCAGATGTTGGTGTATTTTTATTGAAATGGGGAGTCACATATCTGTTTTTGGCTCAGAGTAATTTAAGGAGTTTGTATTTGTGTTTAATTATTTTACTGAACTGCCAGAGGAGTGAGGCGGGAATTTAGAACACCATCCCCACAATGTCTGAAATGACAAGGAGGAAGGTACTTCAGTTTAGAAGAGACAGGTTTAATGATAAGTGTATTACAGTTGACATAAAAAGTATTCATCAGCAAATCAGGATATTAATGTTTAGATCATTCAGTACTGACTTACCTAATCCTCATACTTGAAAATGTGAATAAGAAGCCTTTAAAAATACAGCTCCTACTAGATTACTAATAAATTCATTAAATTATAACACTTCTAGAGTGTTACTGCTAAATTTTAGACAGATTTTTTGTGGTCTGTTATTAAATTTAGTGATTGTTCAGGTGATTGAACATGTAAAAAAAAAAGAGTATAGCAATACTGAAGTTGATTTAACCACTGTACTATATAGACTAAACATTTACAGATTATTGTTCACATGTGATATCATTGCAGAAAAGGCCAAATGATCATGTTTTCATGAGTACTGTAAACCCTTGTTCATTATGTGCATGTAAAGTCCACATTTGCATATAGATGCAAAAATGAATGTGAACAATTATTTCTGATATGTGAAAATTTTTAATACATGCAGTTTGGTCCCTCAGCCTCAACAAATTAAGCCATTTTTTTTTCAAATTTATCATCACCACCACCATCAATAATAACAACAGCAGCAACAGAACAACGGAAGTCTCTCATTGTCATTCAAAGGTGCATAGTTCACAGTAGAAGGTAAAGCCTAATATACTCTACTCTTATTTACCATACGTAAATGTCATAATGCTTATGGTTTTCTTGTGTTTGTATTGTTTCATTTTGTTTTTATCTCGTAGGTGGTATAGGTAGGGCAACTGATTTGTGTGTGTGTGAATGTGTATGTGCATGTGTGCAGATATGAATCCATGTATGTAGGACTCCCATGGCAACATACATGTTTACCCACTTAACCTGTAAGTAGACTGATCATATGTTAGGAAAGACAATGTAGAACACATTTTTAAAGAAGGCTTGAGAGGGAATGAGGGAGTAGGGAGGAGCATGTTTATGTTCTGGAAACTGATAACTGCTGTTCTTTAAAATAAAGAAGAACTTCTCTTTCAGCCATTTTCACTTCTACTTCTTCTCCTGTTGTGTAATTAGTTTGTAGACTATAGCTCCATATGCTGTATTGCCTTCATAAAATTGTCTAACTGGGTAAGCAGATCTAGCAACCGGAGTAAAAGATTATTAACACCATCAGTGTGATTGGTAAATGTTGTGTTTTTTAATCTTTCATTCTTTACATGTTTCGGTCATAGTGACCATCATCAGAAGGACATTATTAATGCATATAGAAATGAAATTACGTCATTGTTCATTATCAAAACTTACAGCAACTCGTATTGCAATGTCATAGATATGAAATATTATCCAGCAACATTTACTACAATGTGCCTGAATTTGTTAAAACATTTATACATTATTATAATTAGTCTATTATATTATATTATATTNAATTAAGAAAGCTGGTGTTTTTAAATTTTAAACTATGTGCAGCATAACAGCTATGTGAGAGAAATACACCTGATGATGGCCATTTATGGCCGAAACATGTAGTGTAGAAGAAAAGAAGACAAAAGAACTACAATAAATTGTTGCACTTAGGACGGAGTTGGTGTCGTACATTATAATTAGTCTATTTACAAAGTATTGTTTAAAAAATGTTTTGTTACAATCTAGAACAAATTTGGTTTGTGTCCTTTATACTTCTTCTGTTTAAAGGAAAATGAATGTTTGCCACCTCATGATTCCAATGTTTGAAGAATATGACTCTTTAGTGTCGTCCAGACCACACAGCATGTTTCCGTATGTACTGACAGTGTCCTTCTGAAGATGGTCACTACAACCAAAACATGTAAGGATGAAAGATTAAAGAACACAACATTTAACAATAACACTGGATGGCGTTGACAATCTTGTATACTATTGCTGGTGTGACAGACCAGGATGAACCAAGTCAAATTTAGCAACCAGCACTTGCTACTTTCTCTTTGGAAAAAATTAAGAATGAAATGTTGGACACTCTTAATTGCCTAATGAAAGAGGCTTTCAAAGGCTCATACATTTTTAAGAATCTTATTAATACCAGAATTAATGACAGAAAACCTGTGTTGCCAGGCTGCAGTAGAGTTTTGTACTAAGTATCAGTTTCATCACAGAAGTGCTGTAGCTCAGCAACACTTCTTGTGTAGATGCGAAAATATTTGTATAGTTTCACCAGCAGTTTTAAACGTCTGTTAGAGGCATATCACAGCCATTTGCACAAAACTGTGCACAATATGTGTGCTGTAGTCTGTTCCAGTTATGTCTCTTATCATTCTGTCGTTAAATCTGTTAATGCCATTAATTTTTATTCCTTAAATTTCCCCACCAAAGTTGGTGTTAGTGTTGTCAATGCAAAAGTCGAGAACTTTCTCTGTGATTTTGTATTTTTTAATTGCACATTAAATAGCTTTGTGAATGATTTCAGATATTTCTCCTTTGCCTGAATGTATGTGTCATAAGTCATAATTTAATCTTTACTCCTTTCATGGGATGAAAGAATCAACCCAAAAATTGTATTAGTTTTACTGATATTCTATATGTCTGCACTTATGGTAACAATAATGGCTTCATATGTCCTTAGGCAATTCATTATTAGCAAGAGGTCCTCATACATACGTGATAATAGTTTCACTTTTTATCAATGTACAAGAACATTTTCAATCAAACATATGAGAAATTAGTTTCAATCAGCAGTCTCTAGAGCAGAAGGACAGGTCATGTTTAATGTAGTGGTATGTGAATATACCTTCTGTGGCTGCATATTTACGTGTGTATTCGTTTTCACCTATGGAACTCTGTTAGTAAAC